CAACGGGAGAACCAATACAGGTGAGGGCCAAGCACTAATTACTGTACAATTCTTTATTCAGTCAGATTATGTAACTTCCAACAGTGTCCGAGTGTTTTTATTTAGAGAGTTTTAAGAACAAGAAAAAGAGAACTATCACTACATTGTTGTTGTTACAAAATGTTGTTTATTATAATTTGAATATAAAGCAGATAATGATTTCACACAATAAGTAACGCTTTAATGGCTTCCTGCACTTTAAACTGTTGTCACTATTATTGGTGGCTTTCCAGTTATTGTCCTTATCTGCAGAGAACTTGGCACAATTAACGAACGATGACGTTGACAGCCACTACTGTCACTGTATCAGTGAGTCAGACAATTTTGGGGTTTTTTCAACATGAGTCTAACCTATCAAAACAAGAATGTGAATCACAAAAGCAGAGTGTAACATCTTTAATAATTAGGTGACACTATCTAATCAGAGTACAAATCATAATGTTTCACCAACATCTGACTCAGGATGATTTAATTGTGTGTCTCTGTGTCTCTCTTGACTGCTGGTTGCTCTTAGTAGCAGTTCACACAAAACTTATCTTCTGTTAAGAAATGCTGATTCACGCACTCTACAGAAGAAGTTTATGTATGAAGCTAGCTTGATTTCTATAACAGAGAAGTGTATTCAGAGTAATGTATTTCTATATAGTGTGTAAATGCATTATTAATTTAATAGCCTCACATTTCAGCTATTTGGTTGCATATTAAATTATGAAAGAATTAACTGTGAATTATTCATCCTTAACTGATTAGCTCTATTGACCTTGAACTAAAAACCTAAATAGATACATATCTTGATCGAATGGCATTGATTCAAGATTCATTCTGCATTAATTTATGTATTAAATGTCAGAAATAAAATAAGTTAAACATTACTTAATTTGTACTCTTCATAAGATGTTACAAACTGCGCAGCACATTACAGCACAGAATTTATTACACAGAAAGAATTGTATTCATAAAAGTGAACTGTCTTAGATATTTGACTAAATACTCTGATATGTAATCATGCATGTCTGATGATGATAAAACTATGTGGTGTTTTTGCCTTAAAAAGTCCTAATTGGCCTAACAGCTGTCAGAATCAGCCAAACCAAATATGTGCAAAGTCATGTCATTAACTTCCACGAATGCCAGAAATGCCATTCTGGATGTTTCCTCAGTGGTTACTTGGGAAGGTTTTGATCCCTCTGAAAACACCAAAACGTTATTCTGTAGCAAAATTATACCCATACAATATTGAGAAAATGTTATGCTGAGGAATTAGATTTTGTTTCTAATATATGAAAATATAAAAAAAAATTAAAAAATTAAAAAATAAATAAAAAATTTATATATATATATATATATATATATACATACATACACACACCAATATTTGTAAATCTCACTTTTCCCAAAATTAAAATTACATCGGTTTCTTGGCAGGTCTCTGCATTTGTTACTGTATTCAGATGTTACTTTCACCATAGGTGATGAGTATAGCAGCATGAGAATGAAGGCAGGAATGGGTGTCATCGTGCACACGACTGCGTGCATGTGTAAGGCAAGACAAGCTGAAACTTGAACTAAAACATCTCATTTTCTTCCTAGATGCGTATCGGCCTCCACACCGGTTCAGTACTTGCTGGTGTAGTTGGGGTTAAGATGCCTCGCTACTGCCTTTTTGGGAACAATGTCACATTGGCCAACAAGTTTGAATCATGCAGCCAACCTAGAAAAATCAACATCAGCCCCACAACCCACAGGTGATATAACTCTGCAACTTGGGAACAAGAAAAGTAGCTCATAGTCACATGTCACTGTCTCAAAACATATAATCTGAAAAGCTTTGCAGGTTCAAGTTAGTCCATCCCAAAAGGAGATATAATCTCCCATTGAAAATGCTACCCTTTAACTGCTTGAAGTGTCCTGTTTATCATCCAGACAGTTCTGCTGTGACTTATCTACATTGTCAGGTAACACAATGACAATTACCCCCTACAGACAGACCCACAAATAAAAAGACTGACTTGCTACCTAGCTGGCAGCTCTTACGGGGCCACGCTGCTACTTATAGACTTATGAAAGGTGACCACTGCCTCATTTTTATGAGACAGACTGACCAATCAGAGCAGACTAGCTATTACTGGAACTAAAGAAAAGCCTTTCAGAACAGAACAATAACTGTTCAAAGTAAACCTATTCAGGCAGAACCCCCCAAATAAAATTGCATACCTCTCTTTCTGCACAGTATAATTTGTTTCCACAAGTGGTTGTTGCAGATAACAAAAAACCCAAAGTGCTCTTGACAGGAAACTTAACATTTGGATGAGCACTGTGTTTCCTCTTGTGTCAAATAATTCGCCACGTTGTTTTGAGATCCATCTTTTATCTGTGCGCTCTTTGTCCCAGATTGCTGAAGGGTCGCCCAGAGTTCGTGTTTGTTCCCAGGAGCAGACAGGAGCTTCCGGCCAACTTTCCAGACGACATCCCTGGAGTTTGTTACTTTTTGGAGGCGTCTGTCAAAACTTCAAAACTGAATATGAAATGAAGTCATGTGACAGATCCCAAAAACGTTAGCTATGGAGTAATATAAACCTATCTAGTGAACACAGTGCAACAACCTTGTATATCTTGGTTTTGGTTGAGTTGATGTCGATGATAGTGTCTTCGAGTCAAACTCTTGCAGTTGCTTAATTACAGAGATGTCAGTTTACTGTCAAACATGAGTCTTGTCTCTGTACAATTATCCATTTGTACAGTTGTTGTAGAAACTTACTTCATCTTTCTTCCAGAATGAGTCATCTGCGCAAACTGATATGATATAAAAGTAGCTTTCATTTCTAGCTCCTGCCAGAGATATAGAAGTGCTGTCAAGAGAGGACTTTGGGACTGTTGTTCTAAGACTGTTGTCTGTAAAAAATAGTATAAAATGTATAGTAAATGCACCAAAAAGCATACAAATTTTTAAAAAGAGTCATTAAAGTTTTTAATCTTGTAAAATGTGGCTATGTTACAAAAATACATTTTTGATATGATGACCTGTAAATGTCTGACTGCCCAGACTAGGTACCTGGTAAAGCAATGTGTCCTAGAATTACATACAAATAATAAAATAAATAAATAAATAAATAAAATACATTCTTTAATAACATATAACACAAACAATTAAACTATATTAAGAGTTTAGGATTAAACCTTTGAACCAATGAAGCAATGCCGAGCAGATCAAGGTGCCTTATGCAAGCTCTACAGGCAGGATCATATGTTGGTTTACAAACAAATGCTTTTATTTATTTATGTTTATTTTTTAATAAAACACAACCAATAATTTCTTTCTGAGTCAGACAAAAAACATATACACTGTTTTTTAGGTGTGTTGTGTAACATAAAGCATTCCTAACTCTCAGTATCTTAACATACGTAATGTTTGTGCATACTTTTAGTCTTTTTCCACACCTCACATTTATACTATATTTATTACATGAGTTTCATCGCACTCCTTTGCTACAGAGGGAATATGACACGGCCAGAGTACAATGAATGTCACTCATAATGATGTGCTTTAACCATTATTGTAATGTAATCAAAGTGCAATAAATATTGACAAACAGTTTTAAATGAATGACTCTGTAGCACATTGCATTGTATGAATAATTGTCATCTTAAGTTATTGACATATATATGATGCAGTACATGCATTGAAAAGTAACTAGAGGCATTTACGCAATTACTTCTTTTCTGTATCATTTCAGGCACTTTTATTTTACTTGAGTGTTTTTAGTTTAAATTTCAGAGTAGAATAATTCCCTTTTTACTCCAGTACATTTATATGATAACTTCACAAAAATTTATTCCAAGGCAGAAACACACATGAGCTTCCTAAATTTGGGATTACAAAAACTATTTCTTACAATTCAGATTCATGCTCATTTAAATATTGGAATTGTGAAATTGTTGGCTAATATGTATGTTTTGTACGTTGTCGGATAGCTGATACTTATACCGCTGATTTTTGTTTATTTTTTATGTTGCTATTAATCCCTGTTGTGTAAACAAAGAAATTATTATAATAAATAACTATTAAAGTATTTCAGTGTATTATCATACTGTCTTGAAAGAGAATACATTTTGTTCTATTACTGACCAAACTGCATGTAGGCGCTGCATTGATAAATAAAAAAGAAATCCAACCAATGCCATTGGTGTCCTGCTAGTTCCAGTGTTGGGTTGATAAATCGCTGAATCACACCTTAATGAAATATAATGACTTTATCAGACCAATAGCATATAACATTTTTAAACTTCATGTGACCAGCTACAGCATTAAAATGCTGTATGGAGAGCAACAAAAATGTTAGGTGCACATGTAAAGTGAGGATCATTTTAAAAATAAGACCATGAAAGAAATGAATCTGGATCTGTGTGTAGCTGCAGAAAGAATGAACACAACCCTGATGTGTGCTAGACAGGTTAAAATACTAACACCTTTATAAAATACAGAGTTATTAGGAAGTATTTTGCTATAGGCAACACTTACTATTCTTAATCTTAATATTAATTATGTTAATATTTCGTTACTTATAGCCTTTGTTTAGTAGAAACATAAATGCATGACCTTTATTTTGAAAAAGAAAAGTAGGTCTGTTTTAATTATATTTATATATAGTTGTGGTTCCAGGTGTATCACCTGGGTACTTCTACCCTTAATATCAATAATAAAGCCTGTTACCCCGCATACTTTTTCAAAATGATGATTTTAGGTAAGTTTAAATGAAAAACTGTCAACATGTTTATCAGAATATATTATCAGGGCATTACAGCTGAACGCTCTTAGCAGAAACTATGTACGGAGAGTGCAGGTTGACCAGCATCACTTGGGCAACAGCAGCTTCTTTGCCATTGGTCAAAGTCTGCTTACGTAACGCCATTGCCGATCTGTTATTGGACAGCCTGGCTGTCAGTAAGAAGCTGACTGAAAAACGGGAGCTGGACCCAGAGACAGTCAGCATCTGTACCAAACGATGAAGATTTTGCTGGATTCTAATAATTTTGCTCAAAAATAAAGAAAACGAGAAACAGCGGACATCATGGTAAGTATTTAACATTAATATTTCCGATTGTGTTTGAATACTAATTAAATAAGTAGCATTTTCCCCCCGAAACGGTGTATTTGCGGTTGTCGTTTCCTGTTGGAATACCGCTATGTAGCGGTTTTTACAATAATATCCATGATTATCCTCATATTAAAATATATTAACGGCTGGACAGAACGTACATGAACACAAAAGGTCATAAAATGTTTAAGAATAGTTAATGTAATGAGCATATTTAAATTTATACATATATATTTCTTTAAGAAAATTGCGTTCGTTCCATGAAATATAACTCACGTTGCTCGTGTTTTTGAAATTTTACAGTATGGTTTTGTGAATCACGCCCTGGAGCTCCTCGTTTTGAGGAATTACGGTCCGGAAGTGTGGGAAGACATCAAGTGAGTTTCAGGATGTGTTTACTATTCAGCCATGTTGGTATCAAAGGTTACACTGTAGCAGCTCAGATCACAACAAGGACACAGGCCAGGCCTAATGTATACTGTACAGCCAGCCCAGCAGCATACACTGCCACAGTGTTACCAGCAGGAACAGATTAACCCGATTACCCTCCACCCTCTGTTGGCTCATGTAGGTTCACACCAAAAGTTAGTTGGTGAAGTGACAAAATGCCATTATTATTATTATTATTATTATTATTATTATTATTATTATTATTATTATTATTTCCCATTTTGTTTGTAATTGTAACAAGTAAATACCTGCAATAACTATGCAGTACAGACCTGAAAAAACTTGTTTGATGAAGTAACCTACTAAGAAATGCAAAAACCTATCGTTCTGCTTTCAAAATCTTGCTTATGTAAAAATCTGCATAAATAATCACCAATATCAAGTACATTCAAGTACTAATTATTGTCATATTTGTCTATATTTGAATATATTTGCAACCTATAAGTGGAAATATTTAAAGTATAAATGTAATCTTACTTTTTCATAGAACTGGTTGATCTCTGGAACTATAATCATAATTGCTGTTTACTGTTTAGATTATCCACTTTATTAGTGGAGTTTAACATTTAAAAAAAGAAAAAAACTCTCTTCTCTAAATCCATCTGCCATTTCTTGCTTTAAATAAGCATTTCTTATCAGGTTCTTATATTTAGGCCTAGTAGGTTTGCTTTAATTGTAATCAAAATGTTATTAGTCACTGAATAAAATGCCTTTTTCACCACAATGTAACTTAAGTAAATGTGTTATTTTTATTTTTATTTTTTGCAGAAAAAGCTGGCAATATCTTTTTGTGATCTTTTTACATTTTTTCAAAGAAAAACTGCAAGTACACCCCTTTGGACAAAACATGATGACTTAACAGTAGGAGAATCACTAAAGATGCAACTTGAAACATTGCTAAAGATCAGCATTAACCAGACAGTACAACTGCACAGTGTCACATCAAAAGACAGGAATCTTTATTGCACACTCTGAAATAACAACAACAATAACAACAAAATAAATAAAGATAAAAAATAAAACCAGTATAAAAATAACTATGAACTATAACTATAAAAGAGTGTACTTTTGTCATGTCTAGAAAGTGAAGATGCAAAGTAGTTCATGGAGTTGACAAACAACATTGTGATAACACTGTGAACAAACTGATAAGTGGGACCTCTAATATGACAATCTGCTGCTGTGAACATAGTGGCTTTAGATGACAAATGAAAGTGCTGTTTGCAGGTTTCTGCCAGTGAAACCTTGTTTAGGAAAGAGACGCAGTGTCTGATTTAGTGGGATTTGAAACTAAAGCATTCGAGCTGATACTGAGAGCAATATCAAGTAAGCTTATTATTATCTCATTTTAGACTGAGGTGGCATTCGAGGCAGTTGCCTCTTAATATGTTTAATATGGACACTAAAGATTGACAAGGATACAGCAGCAAAACTAACGAATCCTTTGTTTATTCATATACAGTAAAGTATAATTCAAATGTGCTCCAATTACCAAAATCCCATAAATAAAAAATTTTACACTTTAAGAGCTTTAAGTTTAGTCAACTTTAGGTTTAGTCTTAATGAGTCCTTTCCCCAGAATAATGGCCATTTTCTTCAGCTGTTGAAATATTTGGCTTAAAGTGAAGTTTATTTTTCATCTGTAGTCTTCTATGCCCTATGCATGACCCCGTGAGCAGCAGCTGCCTTTTGTAAATGTTTTCAGAGTGGTCATTTTCCAGCCACCACAAAAAAACATGCTTCAGCGCAGCATGCTACAGCTCAGGGTTATATGTTACATCTCCAAATGTAACTCACTGTTACTCAGTGCTCAGTTTACCAGGTTCCGTCATGTGCTTTTTTAAAGGTTTTCATGAACTGAGTTATTTATATCAGAATTCTTACTTTTTCAAAGCTCGGTATGTTTTTCCAGCTGTGACACATTATGATAAAATTGTGGTTGCTGGTCAGGCCTGTAAATCATTCCTGTTTACTCAGTTAAATATTTGCAATCAGAAGCTCATTAAGCTTTCTGACAATTTTGTGAAAATTGGATTTTCTAAGATATAAATAGCAAAATGTACTCAGGAGCTTGGAGTGCATTGTATCAAAGGACCTGCAGTAGATCTAAACCTGATTAGCTATCTCTGCTTGTTCAGCAGTGCAATTCACACAAGGACTTCAAAGCAATATCAAAAGCTTTTTTTAATGTTTCCAGCTGAATATATATCATGAAAGAAGACCCAACCATTGGTGTCGAGTTGTTGGTGTAAACAGAAAAGCAATTGCAAAAAAGCCAAAGGTAGTGGTTTCCTGAACAAGTTGCCTACGAGACTGTTTACTTCTGCTGTGACATTCGCTGTAGCTTGTGAGTAACAGCTTCCCTTTGTTTTCAGGAGGGAGGCTCAGCTTGATATTGAGGGCCAGTTCCTCGTTAGAATCATATATGAGGATGGCAAAACATATGATCTTGTTGCAGCTGCAAGCAAAGTTCTCAGTAAGTAACAGCACGATTTTAAATCCCTGGAAATAAAATAAATGTAATTTGATGTAGGATACAAATGAAGCTTTAGCAGACATTTGCCCGATTTTATTAAGCTTTTTGTTTTGTTTTGCAGAAGTTGATGCGGGAGAGATCTTGCAGATGTTTGGCAAGATGTTTTTTGAATTTTGCCAGGAGTCAGGATATGACACCATCTTACGCGTGCTGGGCTCAAACGTTCGTGAATTCCTGCAGGTAGAGTCTTCCTCTTTGCCTTTACGAGCGAACTGAAGATGAGAGGAGGTTTTATTCATCACACTGAGTTTTTAGCCTGTAAAAACATTCGGATGATATTTTCTGCTGAGTTTTGGAGAGTTCTTAGGCTGGAGATTTGAGGCTTTTTAACAGAAAGCCAGACTTAACGCACTGTGGCTGTAAAGTTTGAAAGACACGAGAATTTACTGAGCACAAAAAATGTTATGTTGTATTATATCTTTTTTTTTTTTTTTTAGCTTAAAGGTCAGCTGGATATGTTACATCGCATAAATCAGCTTTGGGTGTCACGTGAAAACACTGGATTGTTGTAAATCGGTCGTTTCATGTTGATAAATACCGTTTGTTCGGGGAGTATTTGTAAGATTCCACTTTTGCAGTAAATTTTAAAAAATAATGTTATACTGTAAAACAAAGAAGAATTTCACACTGTGCAGCTGGATTCTGCTGCTAGAAATCAGCAAACATAAAGGCCTCAAGTTAAGTAAACACTTATAGCACAGTACTCTGCAAACGTCTTGGGCTATCCCTCAGTTCTGTATATTTTAATAGTAAAATAGGAAACAGGTGTAGCAATTTATTGAAAGATGTGCAAACATAAATGGAAATACTGTATAAATACAACTTGAAAGTTTGTAATGCTGTGACCAGGTTTATTCTTTAACACAGCCTGAACTCTCTGAGACAACCTTTCTTAAAAAAGTAGTCTTCAGTAATAGTTATTTAGGCTTTTTGAAGGACATTCAAAACTCTTCTTTGAAAGTTGGAAGTTGGATCCATCACAGATCACTGTAGACAGTCACTGTGTAGCCCTGTTGCCACTGATTTTCAGTTCTTTCTCCCTGTTTTCATTTCTTAACAATAACTTCTTAACAGCCACCCTTCCAGTGACACTTCAGCAAACAGTAGATTGACATCTCTCAGGCCCTGTGTCAGGTCTTTACTAAATTGTTTCCTATTTCTGAGACATGGCTTTCAGATAAAGTTCAACTGCTGTAGATAATTTTTAGGTCTGCCATTTCTTCTTTTGTCCTCGACTTGTCCAGTTTTTTGAGATAACCCATTTTTCAGCTTAGCTTTCTAGCTCTTTGGGTACCCCCTTGATGGTGCAAAAATACTATTTTATGGCTGTTTTTTTATTTCTGTGGTTTTTGGTTTTTTGTTCAAAAAGCAACTTTAAAAGTAGGGCTGCAAAGATCCATCAGTGTAATCAATCAAGTTGACTATAAAAATGTGTCAATGCGGAATTGTATTTTCACGTCATATCCTAATACCACCTAAATGTGTTTTTGTAACTGCAGTACATTACAGGAAGCCATGGGGGCAGTATTGTCTATATTGTCTGCCAAGACTGCACTCAGTACTAACGAAGAATAACGTAGTGCGACCACTAAACAGTAGGATAAAAGAAAATGGAAGCAAAGATTAATAAAAAAAAAGTGAACACATTTCACATAAAACAAACAAAGTTAAATGCAGACTGTGCAAAACAGAGCTTTCCTTCCACTATAGCACTACTGCAGTGCATATCAAAAATGATTGTGGGAATTTAAGCTGTTAGAAATGACTTGCTGACCAAAAACTGTTAAAAATAGGTCAATCATATCTCTCATGAAGAATATCAAGTAATTTAGAGCCAGAAATAACATCTCTAATACAAAGTAGATGCTGCAATCAGTTTTTGGCTAAGTGACTTTTATATATCTGTTATTTATCCTGGTAAAAAGTGTCATTGACATTAAAAACGTGGTTTTCAAGCGAGATCTAGCCAAGAGGACAGCTGAAATTGTTAGATATATAACATCACAGTTCTATAAACTTACTTGAAGTGGCCTGTTCACTACAGTCTATTTACTAATATAGGTAAAGATATTAGACACAAAAAACACCCAAAGTTAAGTTAGTGCATCGTGTTGATACCATGTTTATGTGAATGTTTGTACTGTGATGCTTATGTTAGCTTACCTATTGGAAACTTCTCAGGATGATGCTTGCTTTTGTTTAAATACTAGTAGCACTTTAATTTGTATTATTTCATATTTTTATTTATTTTATTTTTATTCTGACAGTCCTATTGAGTAATGTTAAAAATACATTTGATTATTTTCAAATTTATATTATTTTAATTTGCTGTGGGACGAGATCACAGGGTGACATTCACAGGTGTGCAGACTAGAGCAGGTGAGCTTAGAACAGGAGGTTTGCCCAGGAAACGGAGATAAGACTTATCGACTAATCGAAGAAAAATTGGCAGATTAGTCGACTACCAAAATTATCTTTAGTTGCAGTCCTATTTGAAAGAACTTCAGAAAGCCTGAAGAACTATCAGTCAAGACCACTTTAACGATTACAAGAATGTCTGGCTGCCTGGAAGCAAAATATAAAGAAATGAGGGTTGGCTCGAGTCTTTTGCACAACACTGTTCTTTAATAAAAGGAACAATTTCTCACTGTGCCGCCGCATTCTGTTGTCAGAAATCAGCAAACTTAAGAAATGCCAGTATTCTTTTAAAAGACTTCAAAACCTCTAGAAAGAGTAGATATTTCAGTGCAACACAGTGATGCTCTAATTATAGTTTAGGCTGTGTGATGTCAGGTACTTAAAAGAAAGCAAGGTCAAAGCGAAAACAGTCGCTGGGTTATTAGATTTCCGTTTATTACAGTACGAAGGGTAACAGTGCTGTGTACAACAGCATGATAGAAGACATCATCCACGAGCTTTCCATCCCGTGTTCAGTAATTACTAAAATGTATAATCAGCTGTGACAAAATATGCTGATAATAGTACTTCTCAGTAAATTGGTGTGCTAGGATGATTATGATGTAGTGCCCTTCATTTTGCATTAAGTTTGTTAGGATTTTTTAATCATATTCATTCAGATTAAGTCGCACTCTGTGAAAGAAGCCTATTTTCACCCTGCATAGAAACGAGCCTATCCCTTCATAGTTTGTAAGACATCTGTTTGTACAGCTGGTTCTTGCATGAGGCCCGCAGTCTGCATTTTCACAAAAAACAAGTAGAGGAGGAGCAGCACTTCAAAGGGCAGAAGCAAATCGTGATGTGGGGGAGTGCAGCTTCTTTGTGCAGGTGTATATGTGTTTTCTTTTTAGTAGTGATCACATGATGCGATAATAGTTAAAGATAACTTACTGTTGTCATATGTGGTCTAATGAGGTTTTATGATGAACACCCAGCTGAGCTTTTAATTTTTTTATTCACCTTTTAAACTTCTTCTATTTGCACAACATAGAGGTTGGTGTTACAATCGGCTGTTACATATTCTTTTCTTTGATTTGAATTTTCAGAATCTGGATGCTCTCCACGATCACCTGGGCACCATTTATCCCGGGATGAGGGCTCCCTCGTTTCGCTGCACTGATGCAGAGAAAGGAAACAATCTAATTCTTCACTATTACTCGGAGAGAGAAGGCCTGCAAGACATAGTGATTGGCATCATTAAAACCGTCGCTCAGCAAATCCACGGAACAGAGATAGAGATGAAGGTCTCCTTTGTTGCTTTTGTTACCTTTTTGTGCATCGTGAAACCTTCGACTCTTTGGCTCACTCTGTCACTGCTAATGAACGGATATGACTTCTTCTCGCTCCCCTTTAATTTATGGTACAATATTCAAAGGCACTCTTGTGTTCCTGCATTGCATTGTGTCAGAATGTGTAAGTCTCTGTCACACAATATAAGTGGCGAGGCTGTAACGTGAAGATTAAACAACAGAAACGTCTCAAATACCCAAATGGGAACACTTTGACAGCTGCAGTTGAGTAGTGAATTTTTGGATAATGTCTGTGAGTCACAGGATATTTTTAGATTTTTAGAAGATATAGAGTCTCTAGCATAGAGACGGTGGGAATCTTCCAAGGAGTTTTATTCTTGCTCCTCATTTTTTTTAAACTTTTCTCTCACTGCGGCTGAACCAAAAATGACTGAGGGAATAGAAGAACAAGCCACATTTAAAATGTTAACTTAACCAGGCTAATCTCAGTAGCACTAAATTAAAAATTTCTAACAAACCAGCATTAAAAACTGTTAAGCTTGTTTTTTTTAATTGTAGGCCACCCAAAGCCTCAGCCTTAATCTGTACCATTCCCTGCAGCACGTTATTCCCCTCAGACGTCTACTGTGTTTAGATTGAGCTTTTCCTCTTCATTCAGTCGGTGACATTTTCTCCCAAACTTAATCATGTTATACAGACAGGATAATATCTTTCAGCAATTCTATAATGAAAGCACAGAAAATGACAGACGCTCCAAATGTGACACACAATTTCTGGAAATATTAGCCAGTGTTGCTGTGGCAACAGGGTGCAGAGACACCAGGTTGACGTCAGCATGCCTTATGCCCATAAAACCACAGGACTCTGTCATTATTACCCGCCTAATTCTATATAATAAATGCGAAATTAACATTTGTATTATTGGTATTATGTTTATGAAATGAAAATTGCAACGTTAAGGTTCAGATTTCTCTTTAAGGCCGTCATAGTGCTCTAATGATGTGCAACAAAGTTAGTCTTGCATCAGTGTCGTCAATATGTTATCAACTGATTAACTTCACGTGCTGCAGATGATCCAACCCAAAAATGAGGAGTGTGACCACATCAAATTTCTGATTGAGGAGAAGGAGTCAGAGGAAGAGGCGTTCTACGAAGATCTCGATGGCTTTGAAGAGAACGGCACGCAGGAGACTCGAATCAGCCCGTACACATTTTGCAAGGCCTTTCCATTCCACCTCATGTTTGACAAGGACCTGATGCTCACACAGTGTGGGAACGCCATATACCGAGTCCTGCCACAGGTCTGCATTCACATTCAGTTCTCCCAAACTCAGAATTTCAAGAAATTAGCAAATAATTATGTTTTAAATATTTGCTTTGTCTTTTATTATCAATAATAATGCTATAGTTTAATATAAAGAATAAATTCAACGTTACTAACATATGGATATTTTTATCATATAGCTCCAGCCGGGTACCTGTATCCTTCCTTCAGTTTTTTCTTTGGTACGTCCTCACATTGACTTCAGCTTTCACGGCATCCTTTCCCACATCAACACTGTCTTCGTTCTTCGTAGCAAGGTATGTATGAAATATGTATGTTTGCACGAGTCCGTTTGGCTAATCGCCATGCAGGGAGCAATGAGCATATAAACAAATAGAAATAATATGTAAATTCAAGAGTAAAGAGTGAGTATACCATGTCTATATTCTAAGGTTTTAGGTATCAAAACATAATTAAGATAATATGGTCCCTAGCCAGTTTTAGAGTTGGGTAAATACAACCTCAGATAAATAACATCACCTGACCTTTTACATGCATTACTTATTTAACAAAAAACTAAACCAGAATGCAGAAATTGTGTGATAAAGTAAGTGTACCTGTGCTGCTTCATAGTAATTAAGAGGGTAAGTAGCAGTCAGGTGCTGATGATCAAATTCACTCGATCAATTGTTTGACAGAAAATGAGAGCATCTCTATAAAAGTAGAAGTTCTGGCTCTTTGCTGTTATGGAGCATTCAGGTGAGTGTAAAACATAGTGCCCAGCAGGAAAGACATCAGAAATGATCTCAGAGAAGCAAATGCTGTTGCTCATAACTCTGGGAAGGGTTTTCTGGTCATTTCCAAACACTCTAAAATCCATCATTTAGCAGTGAGAAAGATTATTCACAAGTGGAAAACATTCAAGACAGTTCTTCCCAGGAGTGGACTTCCCAGCTTATTCACCCTAAGGTCAGACCAAGGAATGCTCAGAGAAACTGCAGAAAAAACCAAGAGCTACATCTCAAACTCTACAGGCTTCAGTTTGCATGTCTAATGTTAAAGTTCATGACAGTACAGTTAGAAAGCGACTGAATAAGTATGAGTTGTCTGGAAGGGTTGCCAAGAGAAAGCCTCTTCTCTCTAAAGAGAAATGACTTAAAGCTTAAATTTGCAAAGTTGTATCTGAACAAACCACAAGACCTCTGGAACAATGCCCATCTCCAAGTTAGGTGAAAACCAACAAAACACCTAATTCACCAACTGTCACACATGGTGGTGATGATTGGGGCTTGTTTTGTAGCCACACGATCTTGGCACCTTTGAGGCACCATTGGGTCGACCATGAACTCCTCTGTAATCCAAAGTATTCTAGAATCAAATGTGAGTCAACCTGCCCAACAGCTCAAGCTTGGCTCAAACTCAACCTCAAATGATGATCCACACCACAGCAAATCTACATCAGAATGGCTGAAAAAGAAAAGAATGAAGATGTCTAGACCCCAATCTGACTGAAATGCTATTATTGGACCTTAAGAGAGCTGTCCATAAATGAATCTAAATCTACAACGTCATTGAGTGTATGCATTTTTCACTCATTGTTTTATCTCAGTTTTTGTTAAATCAATGATGACAAAATGTAAAACCTTACAATTTATAGAAGCTATACAGTTACTATACAGTTTTACAATGCTTATGTTTATGCATAGAGCAAAGAGGGTCATGCAGCACAGTTAGAATATACCTTTGTTGATTTTCAGAATAGACAAAAAGTTGTGGGAGAAACAGAGAAAAGACTAATCTGAAAAGCTAATTTTATGAGCACAGAGGTCAGTGTGAAGTCAAATGAAAAGTCACAAGGTAAAAATAGAGCAAGAATAGAAAATAGTTTCAAATTTAAAATTTGTGTGGTTTGGTTTCTCATGGAATGGTTAATCCTTAAGTGACAAAATAATACCGCTATACTCAGATTAATTGTGACAAGACTGATCCTTGAAGCACTGCCACTCTTGGGGCATAAGCTACATGGCTACGTAAGCCCTGACAAAAAAGAGGAGTTTACTTTTTTTTTTCTTTACACAATAAAATCAAAATTAATTTAATGTAATGAGCGCTGAAAAATTTAACATTTAAAATGAAAAGCCAGATTTAAAAATAAAGTGCGAGCTAAACTGGCACCCAGTTTGGAAGCACATTTAGAGATGAACGCACTGCATCATGAAATATTCACAAGAGGGATGTAATCCTGACAGGAGGGCCTGCTGAATGTGGAGACTGTAGAGAATGAGGACGAGCTGACGGGGGTGGAGATCAGCTGTCTGAGACTGAAAGGACAGATGATTTATTTGCCAGAGGCTGAGAACATCCTTTTTCTTTGCTCACCCAGGTAAGCCATCAGTTGCAGAAGCCTTGACTGAATATGCACACCAGAAAAATGTTACTTTTACCCACAGAATGAGAATGCTCAGATTTCAGGTGAAGACATCTTGAAATCTAAAGGTTCAAGGTTTTGACTTACAGCAAAGTATAATCTATCTCTGTAAATGCAGAAATATGACAAACCAATATTTGAAATAAAGCTGATTTTTTTAAAGGAAGAGTTTTGTTCACTGTTAATTGCTCGTATGCATGAAGGTTACTAACGATGTGCTTTTCTTTCTGTGGTTTTTGTTTCCAACCAAAATATAAGAAACTAATTTCCACTTTTAGAGCTGCAATGCTACATGATAGTGTTGGAAAAAACTAAAAATTTCTGCAAATTACAGTGAGCTGAGACAAACCTTAACATTCAGCATATATAGTCTAACCATAATCTAAGACAGCTAACGTAACACAGGTGAAGTGGATGCTACTTTGAATCAGAGCTGCTGTCAGAAGGAGTCTATTACAGAGTTAATGGTGGTACTCTGTCTAAGTCCTCCAGATATTCACTGATGATATACTGTTGGACATCTGTAATAATGTTTTTCGTTGTGCATTTTGCATTTCTTATGTCCAGCTGGCGATGCTGATGCTAGATGCACGGAGACTAATTAGGTCCCCTCAAACAGCCAGAGTGTTTAAACGACAAGGTTAACTTCAGAATCTGAGAATAATGGACATACTGGTCATATGCAAACATTAAAGATTGCAAAAATCACACTCAAAGTGTCGACAATAAAAATAGATCTAACTTCAGGGGAAAAAAGAAGCTCACCAGAGTCATCAAAAACATCAGTTAGCAAAAACCAAGGAGACAATTATGTGTTTTCACTGTGCTGTAAGGTCTCATGAAGTTTAACATTGCTGTATATGGTGGTTTGACATCCCTGGTCTAGATGACTACAAGGCTTATCCTTTAGCAGTGTATAGTGTACAGTATTCTGTGTAAAACGTCTAAGTGAAGTTAATTAGAGCAAGAAAATGATTGATGAAAAGTAGAAGAGACATCAACAGAAGATCTGTTTTTGATTTACTTGTAATTTAGATCTGTTATAATCTCACTAATGAAAATGAGGTTATTTTTTCCATGTAGTTACACACTCTGTTAATCAAGCAATTACCCAGAATACTCAGAAGTGTTTTCCTCTTGGCCTTTTGGAAATGACAATGGGCTGGTAGATCGCCAGAGCGTGACCTACGTTATCCTCTGTAGCTCTTACGTAATCATTCAGAATTTTTTAGTAAACTGTTCGATCCAGGAGATGGCAGGGTTAAAAGGGTCTTGTCCCCTTACATTGAAGGCAGTTTGCAGCTCGTAGGATGAGTGTTTTCACTAAAGGTTGCTGCCTTGGAGGACTTTAACTGCTACTGAATGAAAACAAGATGCAACCTGACCAGAAAAGATCCGAACAGCACAGCGTCTGACCTCACCAGACAAAAAGCAGCATTTATCTGGAAACATTACAGTGCTCTCAGCCCTCACAAGAGGATGATGATTTCACTGCTCATGTCTCATTTTTTATGTCCTGTATAATTTATAACACCTCTTGATATGAACAAGAACAGCAAGACACAAATCAAATGTTTCCAGCAGCTTCACTCTGCAAAAATCTCTTATAATTTATGACTCTCACTTTTTTTGCCCTCTCTTTGTTGACCTGTTCCTACTTTTCTGGTTAGTGTTATGAACTTGGACGATCTTACACGGCGGGGACTCTACCTAAGTGACATCCCGCTGCATGACGCCACGCGCGACCTGGTGCTGCTGGGCGAGCAGTTTCGTGAGGAGTACAAACTGACCCAAGAGCTGGAAATCTTGACGGATCGCCTCCAGCACACACTCCGAGCCCTGGAGGACGAAAAGAAAAAGACAGATAGGTTTGACTGTTTTTATATTTTCATTAAAGTAGTCTTTAAGTACAGTGTGGGGTCAGATATTCATTAATTACAGGTATTATACCCACCAATTCTCAGTCAGTTTTTTGACATTATAATGTAGCTAGTATATGCAGCTTTAACCCATGTTGCCTGTCTCCCTTCATTTTTTCACTTTATTTAAACAAAAGAAAGTATTAAATGATGTCATTTACATTTTCTAGTTATGTCATTATCTGTAGGTTGTGTGTAGTATCCAAATTCACTACTATAAATCTCTAATAGCACTGTCATGATTCATTTGCTAGGAAAAAATGATAAAAAAAGATTGTTTATTATAAGTCTTGAGTAGGGAGATAAAGAGAAGCCTTAACCAGTTTTCCCTTTTAAGGGCAAACCACCGACAATACAGAAAGACACAGGTCTCAGTACAATAAAGTTGCATTAAGGATGTATGACAGCAGGGCAAGCAGGGGCTGATATTTAAGCTTCTCTTCAGTCCCTGTCAGAAAAAGGCCTGCCATTGTATTTTGTCACAGCAGTGGGTGACAGCTGGAGACGGAGAAGGGTGGAGTGTGATCTTTATTAAGAGCGCTGTAGCAGTTTATCTTCTCTTAGGAAAAGACTTTCACTCTCCCACTGGATTCCCACGTTATTATTCTGACCATTCTCTGGACTCAGATTGCCTCGGGCTCCAGACATTGATTTGAATTCATGGCTTCTCTAAATTTTAAGAGAACTGCTGCTGCACTGTTGTTGCCTTTTTAGATGCTACATCACTCTTTGTTTTTGCTTCTTTTTAACTTAGAGGTACAAGGCTGTGCATAAAATATTAACTATTTTAGATTTAAATATATGTATTCAAGCGCTGTATATATATACTATTTTTTTATGAATACATTTTAGAGTTTGCCATCTGTATGCATCATTCATCCTAAGATTATGATGCATCAAGGAAGGTATTTTGCTTTTAAGAGGCAGCCATGATCTAACCAGTTACCATAGAAACACCACCCTCCTTTCTGAAAGCAGCTTCCACAGCAAAATGACCAAAAGGTGGTGTCTGTGCAAACAAAATGCTGATCCAAAGGACGGACTTCAGCCCGGCGTCCCCAGCACCACCGTGCTCTCGCTCAGAATGTTCATTTCTCTTCTCCTTCTCAGATTGCTCTATTCTGTCCTGCCACCATCTGTTGCCAATGAGCTGCGACACAAACGCCCGGTGCCGGCAAAGCGCTATGACAACGTGACCATCCTCTTTAGTGGCATTGTCGGGTTCAATGCTTTCTGCAGCAAGCACGCCTCAGCTGAAGGAGCCATCAAGATCGTCAACCTGCTCAACGATGTTTACACACGCTTTGACATTTTGACAGACTCTCGGAAGAACCCTTATGTATACAAGGTCAGAAGCAGGAACTTTGCCATCACGTAATATTGCATACTGGTGTAAATTTGTGGTCAATAAAAAGGCCTGAAAGGAGGAAGTTTTGCTTCTACTCTGGAGGTCTGGTTCTGCAGCTGTAATGCACTAAGCTGCTGAATAATATTATGCAATTATGCATATGCAACTCAGTTGCAGAGTATTTATATCAGTTAACTTAGGGTAGTACCAACATCTAAACAGGGTGTAGTTTTACAATGGCACTGCACCATTTTATAGGCCTCGTGCAACAGATTTACTCTCCAGGCTTTCAGACAAGAATGCACTTTCAGAAGTCAAACAGACCTCTTCCATGAGATTGGCTTCAGGCACTGGGTCACCAAAAAAAGTAATATTTACTCTACAAGCTGAAGGGCTAGGTGGTCCAGGGGTTTTAACAGGGCTTAAAGAGTCCCTGAATGTCTTAAAGCTGATGTAAGTGTTTAAGTGTTTATCTCGGGGTGTTTCAGTTTATTTCTGGCTGCACAGCACATTGGAACACCCCCCACCCCCCCGTTGCGCAGTGGGAACAAATCATTCTACATGAAGCAAAAGTAAATAGAAGCAGAAAAGAAAAAAGAAGTCATGACATCACTCATGTGGAGAATAAGAAAATGTTTTGGTTTATTTTCTTTATACAGGTGGAAACAGTCGGTGATAAGTACATGACGGTTAGTGGCCTGCCCGAGCCGTGCACGCACCACGCAAAGTCGATCTGCCACCTTGCTCTCGACATGATGGAGATTGCTGGACAAGTGAAAGTGGATGATGAACCAGTGCAGGTGTGAGATGAATCTCAGGTTTCAGAATAAAACATTTCTGCATATTATACTTCATTATCTGTGTGGAATTGTATTGCAACTAAATGTGAGCTGAGCAACTTTTTATACAGTACTTTTGCTTGACCTTAAATAATACCTGTTGCTGCTGAGAAAATTAGCAGGATATATTTATTTTTCTATAGTTTTAGCTGCTTCCAACACTGATAGATTATAGGCGTGCCTGTAGAGATCTCCTCGAACACTCTTGCCCACCATGTTACAAAAATTGTGAGGTGTGTAACTGGCCTGAACCACACCAGAGCGCAGCAAAGCCGTCACTTTTGTTGTGCCTTAAGGCAGTAGTGGCGAGTGTAATCTTTAGGTCTCGCTCGCTGATTGCGATTATCAACGATGAATCATCACAAGTGAATCAAAGTGTGTTTATGATTTGATTTTAAAACAATTGGTTTTAATAAGAATAATTTCTCCCAAATTGGGAAGTTAATGCATGTGAGAGGAAAGATTTCCTGTATTAGTCCTGGTTTGATTGGGTAGCAAAGGAAAATGTGAAGGTGTAGGAAACATTACCTCCACCTGCTGAAGCTCAGTGTGGCAGTAGTATATGTCTGTCTAGTCTAAAGCCAGTTCAGATGTTGTTCAAATTTAATTGTGGTGGCAGAGAATCAACACACTCAGTCACTCACTGTGGACAGTTTACTGTGGACCTGTCAGCTCCAAGACTTTTATAGTAAACAAAAGCTAAATTAAAAACTAACACTAGATGTGGAAAAAAACTTCAAATAAAAAATAGACTTTTTAAGAAAAGAAAAAAAAAGCTAACTGAAATGAACTTTGAAAACTAAACTAAAAAGAGAATATAAAGCAAACATGCTTAGTTTGATAGTTTGGAAAAAATCTTATTATATCTTTGATGGATGTGTTTATTGAGACTTTGGATGACTATGAGACTGTAAGTCAAGTCCTTTTAAAAAATGATGTGTTTTTATTGTAACTGATTTTCTTAGATCTTGCCTCCGACACATGTCTTCCATACATGAATTAATTTAGTAAAAAGTCTAAAATATATTATTATAAACTGAAAAAAAAAACACTCTGGAAACTAACTAAAACTAAACTTAATTTAAAAAAAAGGTAGAAATGAAATGAAATAGAGAAATTAATTAGAAAATGCAAAACTATAATTCCATTTTTACATACAGGCTGTAACAGTTAAGAACGTAACAGTGTAGACTTTAGTGCACAGAGGATTTTTTAAAACAAATTAAATAGACCAAAAAAAGGACTAACTGGAAAATAATGTCATTGCATGTATTTCATCTTGTCTCTCTAACATGTCTGTTATATAGCTGTTGGATTATCTCTGTGTGGTGATGCGCTGACTGTCTAACTGTTCTCCTTCACATTTAATTATTTTTCAGCTTCTAAGCACTCCATCTGTTATTTTGGCACAGATGATTTTTTTGGAGCGCTGTCGGCTTTCTAATATTAGTTTGAAAATTCTCATATTAGTGCACCATATTAATGTGTCAGGCATTTACTCTATTACACTTAATATATACACATTTTTATTTTAGAATAATTATACCTGCGCATCTGGGAATGTATTTTTGTGCTGAAGTAATGAGCAATGAGAAGTTGTTGAAGTGAGTGCTGGAGATTGTTATTATATCAATGACTGTTGAGACTTAACTTTGGAAAATCGTGTCTGGTTAACAAAAGACTGTTTATTTTCAGACATGGCACTGGCTAAAGAGGGGCCTGGCTTAGTAGCAGAAACAGACTCAAATCATTTCACGATCCTGTGGCTTAAAATAGATTCTCATTTGTCCCAAACACTCCTGGCATGTTCATGCTCTGATGGCAGCAAGCGCTGAAGTGCCTATAAGATTAAGTGTAAATATTAGTCTCTTGATTGCCGGGGATTTCTTTTGGAACTGTTTACTGCAAATTTGAAACTACAAGGAAATTTTAATTTTGTGCATGGAGACACCTCAGGCAAAGTCAACCTTATATTTACCAACCACATGTCAGTCGATGGCTTTAAGAATTTGTGCCAACACAAAACTTGCAATTTATTTCTATAAAGCATAAATTATTTATTCAAGTCCTTGAGTTATAATGTACACGGGATTTAAAGTAGGAAATTTTGTTACCATAGTTATTAAGTAAATAAATAAGGTTTGTTGTGTGCTGTTTTACAAATAAATGTACAGCAGATAACTAATGATCTGTGCTGCAGAGATGTATTTAAAGTTAAGTTTGCAAATTTGAAAAGAAACAGGGATGTCTTTAGGTAACTGCAGCATTTATTTTGCTTTGGTTAAAGTGTAAACATGCGCTTCGATCACGTTTTCTTCTCTTTTCTTTTCAGATTACTATTGGGATCCACACAGGAGAGGTGGTGACCGGAGTCATTGGGCAGAGGATGCCCAGATATTGCCTTTTTGGAAATACGGTCAACCTCACAAGCCGTACAGAGACGACGGGTGAAAAAGGAAAAATAAACGTGTCTGAATATACGTACCGGTGAGCAGCAGCGTCTCCTTATTTTTCAGGATCAGTTGTACTGCTAGAATTTTTTTTATTCTTTTAACTTTTAATAAAATATCCATTAATAGACATAAAACATGAAGCATATATAAGGAAAAACAAACCTAGTTACTGTGGACGTGAGCACGGCAAGTGTGCAGCTTGTGTGATATGTAGCGTTGTATTGCAGGTGTTTGCAGTCTGCCGAGAATGCCGACCCTCAGTTTCATCTGGAGTATCGGGGCCCGGTCACCATGAAAGGAAAGAAGGAGCCAATGAAGGTGTGGTTTCTTTCCAGGAAGCCCACAGACGCTTAAGGCTCATCGAAGGATTGCATTAATGCGGTCATGTCCTGTCACATTTTGACACAGGGATGGGTTGGATCAGGTGACACATATGCAGATATTTTTATTATGATGAAACACATTTGTCTATCCGAACACCCGCCTCTCTCTACGTACCCATGGTCTGCCATTACATTTTATAGCTGTGTAGCGTTTCATCGAGAGGTCCGTGATACAGTATTTGGTGCAGTCAAGTTTGATACGTTTGATACATACAAAGTGGTGTATTAGACTACACACTAAAGGTTTTAATAAACAAAACAATTTCCATTTATTGATTATTTTTATTTTAGTTTCCATTTTTGTCTGCCGTGTTTGTGTAGTGTGAAGCGTGCCAAAAAAAAGACAATTTATAGCCAAATTAAGTAATTTCAGAGTATACTTTATTTTATCATCATCATATTAAATTTTACAGGTACAGAATATATTAAATGTAAGTAAAAATTGGACTAATTAGTTTAATGAAAATGACTGTAGAGCTTACATTATTGTCCTTGTTCACCAAATGTGAGAATTTATAGTTTTACACTGAATATATTACACTGGCTTCAAGATTATTATAACAAATGAGAATTTAGATTTAGACTAGATATTATTATATATATAATACTGATGTCAAATCTGTATCATAAAAACTACTGTGCCAACTACATTCATATACAGTTTTACATTACACAGACTTACTTGTATTTTTAAAAGCCACAAATCATAAAGCATTTGAGCCATTAGTTCTTCACATGTACCCATTACTTAATTATTAAAATACCCTTAGTATTAAAAGCACTTAACACTATTTTATATATTTATGTTACCTCTGTACACATTGCACAATCACCTCATGTCTGCTTAAATGATATTGAATGCTATTTTCAGTTCTACTGTATGTTACTGAGATAAAGCTACATATTTATTATGTCATGTTACTTTGTATTTATTCCTTTTTTGAGAAAAGAACTGTTATTACTTTTAGAAATGAAAAAAGAAAACGTATGGTAAATTTTGCTATGTATGACACTACTTTGTGCCTCCATCACATGTTGGATTAATCTCACTTGAGTATATGTACTGTACGATTTTTCAACATATTTTCCAAATTCACTATTAATAAACTAAACACAGTGTCCTCCGAGGTTTAATGTGTGACAACACACAGGTGCCTCTTGTGTTATAAGAGTGCATTTCTGTGCTTGTAGGACATCTTGTTTTATCTGGTGTTTATTTTGGAGGTAACTAATAAATAATGTGGACAAGTGTGGATTACTTGATATCGATATTTTATTTTGTACTGCATATATTTATTTTTTTATAATCCGTCAGGAAATTCAGACTGAATCATGTAGCTGTTTAAGTATTACTTATGGTATTTATTTTTGACCAAAGGCTGAAGTATGGCACACACACGTATGTTTTTTTGAGATGCACTCCCTCTAGTGGTGTTTCAGAAGATTGCAGCCCTTTTCTGTGGTAATGGCCACATACAGTACTGTGCAAAAGTCTTGAGCCACCGCTTTTATTTAAAATATTTTGCTTTTTGAAGGTCTTTCAACTTTTTAGATGGCTGCTTTTCACTCATTTTCAGTCCAGTCCTTGTACCTGAACATTTTTAGAGGAATACTTTTTTTTGGATTTGTCAACGCTGAGCTATGAATCATTCAAGCATAAAAAAGGCACCTAACTCAAGCGACGAACCACTGTAGTGTTCACTCATAACAGACATCTTAGCAAAGAATTAATTTTAAATTGCAACTTTAGGGATTTTATTACAAGCAGCCTTTTACAGCCAGTGTGGTAACACACTGCCATTGTAGTAAAAGCATACATGGATAGAAAAACGCACAATAGGACATTATTAGTCACGGATTAGCCTCTCCATAGTCTGGATCTCAACATTACTGAAGCAGTGAGGGATCATCTCGACAAAGAACAAAATAAAGTTGACTTTCATTCACGTTAGAAGTGTACAAACTCAGTTTTTGCCTTATATACTGCATTTCCATGTATGTTTTCATGTTTCAATAAGTCACTGCAATCACTGTTTCCCATTTTCCTATACTATAAAGGAATGGCTCAAGACATTTACACATTACTCTACCTTCAAAATCAGGTAAATTGTTTTATGTGTCTCTTGTCCTGCTTATCCATTAAGAATAAACTTTCTATTGCAGTACGATAATAAAAAAAATTGGTCAAGCCAATTTTCTTTAAATAACCAAATATGAATTTTGCTTAAAATTAGATTCTTACCTTCATATGTAAGAGGCTGATGGGGTCTTGGACGGGCAGGCAGAGAATGTGGACACCCAAGTTTGTGAATGTGATAACTCGAAAATGAAGCAATGTAGGTGTTTCAAATTGATACCACATGTATCCACTAAAAATTTCAGATGAATTCAAATCTCAATCAACTTCAAAGTCGGAGGTTAAGTTTTCTGGAAATCTTGTAAATGCAATAACTTGACATAATGTAGGATTTTGAAATTGATACCATAGGTATCAGTAGGCATCCTGTCTAAGGTGCACCCAACCTCTCATCCTAAGGTAGCTGGGATAGACTCCATCCCTCCCCTGCAACCCTGATAAGGATAAGTGGAAGAGAATGGATGGACAAATGGATGAGCTGTACCACTGGCCAAGGCAAGTATCTTTCAAATTACAGGTATTGTCCTTAAATCTAATTTAGAATGTGGCACCTTGTTCTCCTAGAAAATTTTAGAGACTGTGAAAAACAAAATAACTACTCAAAGACACATTTACCATGTTGCTTCTATGGTTGTTTTCAAGCAATGCAACAGAAGCTAATACTAGCAGCTAATGGTAAAGTCAGGGAGGGAGTAAACCTGTAGGTTCTCAGTCTTCCAGGCCATTCCAGTCTAAGGAGACTGAAAATGTGGCAGCTGAACTTGTTTAATTTTTATTTTCAAGATGTTTTACCTCTCATCCAAGAGGTTTCTTTAGTAGCTCTTCTTCAGCTCTGTAGCTAAAGAGCCAGTTGTGTTTAATTAGATACCAGATACTGGAAAAAGGTAAACTGGATTTTCATTTCACTTTCCTGAGGTAATATAGCATTTAAATGTTTCACCCAGTGACCACAGATGTAGTAAATAGTTATAACAACTCCTTCATCAAATGGAGCACTAAGGAACTTAAACAGAGGTATCATCCGTATCAGTTCTACTATAGATTGTGATCAGCGTTAAGCACTGAAAAAAATATGTTGTTGGATTTACTTAATTCAATGGTGGACATTTGTTGCTCACAGATGTTTTGCTTTGGCAGCAACTTAAACAATTGAGTTAAATTAACACAATTTATTCATGTTCAATAAACCTGTGTAATTTGTGTTGATAAAATGTGACTTAAACATGTTTTGATGAAGTAATTTGAGCTCTTGGAATATTTTAATCCTTCACAATTTTCTCACGTTATCTCAACACGATTCAATAACTTTTACCCAATACTACTTGGTCACTTAAATACTACATGTTATCTTCAAATTACATTTTGCTATTATATTCTAGTATCAAATACACAATTTTCAAATGGAGGCCTTATAACAGATTGTATTGTCCTCTTCCAAGATGATTGCTGGCATCCACCAGTAACCTTTCAAAACAACATGTCTAATTTCACTGCAGTAGGTAAAGAATGAAACTGACATTACTCCTCTACTGAATCTATATAAATCAACAGTTAAATAATGTCAGTTCTTCCATGTTCTCTGGAATCAATCACAGCAAAGAAATTAGACTGTTTCTTTTGAAAAATGTTGGGAAAGAACAATACAAAACATTCTATTTAAGGCCTCTGACATCAAGATTCAGTTAAACAACAATTATAACTAGAAAGATTTGCATTTCCTGCGAAAATGCAGTGTGGATGCTTTAAAGCTGAAGCTGTATGCAAAAACTAGCTGAAAAAGCTGAAAAGTTGCAGAAATTGTAAAAACTTTGCAGAAGCAAAGGAACTTTGCTAAAATGGAATAACTTAGCAGAACTGCAATATCTTAGAGGAAACATAATACTTGGCAGAAATACAATAGCATAGCAGAACTTAGCAGAAATATTGTAACTTACCAGAAACATGATAACTTCTCAAAAATACAAGAATTTAGGAGAAATAGTATAAGATAACAGAAAGAATATATTTAGCCAAAAATACTTAAGCATTACAGAAACACTATGATTTAGAAAAATAGTACAACAGAGCAGAAATACTGTGATTTACCAGAGACACTGTGATGAACTATGAATATTGTAATTTTAAATCAATACTATGTTTTAGCACAAATACTATAATTTGACAGAAATACTATATTTAGCACAAATCTTATAAAATAGCAGAAATAGTATGATTTAGCACAATAGTAATAACTTAAACAGAAAAATTGGAAAAGCAAAATGGACAGCTGAAAAAATGCTGAACATGCTAAGGGTCCCTCAAATATACTTGTTAAATGAAAAAAATTGGCAAAAAAAAATATAACAGCCACACAATCACAAATATGGACACATATGGAAACACACATGCACAGAGAGAGAGACACACACAAGATCCAATTCAGTCAACCAGTCTAAATATATTGAATTTGAATCTTACAATGTGATCATCCCATAAAAAGGCTTCCTCTCTCTCTCTCTCTCTCTCTCACTCACTCACTCACTCACTCACTCACACAGAGAGAAGTAAGTTTCTAGCTCAGTCAAGCAGCCTTGGAGCTGCTGAATTTGAATCCACCAATCAGAGAGCCTGTGCACTTTTTCCCGCCAAAACAGGTGCACGCAGCACAGAGAGACACAGGATTTTTGCAGTCTATTTCTCATAATGACGACTCCCCTCAAATAAATGACCATAATTTCCTAACCGTAGGGGCTAGAACGGTCATTCTTACACCGTTTTGTTCAGAAGAGATGGGGAATCTTAAAGTGTTGACAATTTATCATTAAAATATGAATTATTAAAGATAATTGACTTCTAATGCACCATAACTGAGTAGAGCAAAGCAAAAACTGCCTTGACTTGCCCTCAAACAACGCTTTCTAACTCTAAATCTATTTGGAGTATCAATATCATTCTTTCACCGTAAGAGACAGCAGGCTTTGGTGAACAATCATGGAAATTTTCAGGTCTCTGTGGAAATCCATTAAAAAGATATGACGAGAGAAAAAAGTGGTTCATTTCCAGAGTTTGAAATCTGAAGAAATCTGAGCGAAGGACGAAGTTCCTACCCTCAAACAAGTCTAACTCATTTCAGAACGGTAATAGGTGAGAAAATAATTCTTGAATTGTGAGCGTCAGGAGTGTCTGAAGATATACTGGGACAAGCCTTATGTCTTAACTTTGCTTCGTTAAGGAGATATGACGATTCGAATATGCCTCTCATTACAGAAATCAAGCGGTGATTTTGAACAAGCTCTCCATTGACTTTCTATGGAGAGTTTTGCGACTTTGTGTTGGTCTGAGGAGATTTGCCAAAATTCTATAAATCCCACAACAATGATAGTGACATTTTCGGAAACCCATCAAAAATACCTATGTTTTGATGTATAATTTGTGGAAGTTGAGTGAAGATTGAGCAAGTAGCAAGAAGTTGTTCGGACATGAAGAGAAGACTGCAAAACCTTCAGTGGCACACTGGAAGCCAAGTGCACAGCAACCATAACAACGCATGTATTTTGTGAAAAATCACAATTTTGCAACTGAAAACTTTAAGAGGCATAAAGGTAAAACGGTAAAAGATTTGAAAAAGCTGAATCATACCTGAATAGCCCAATAATTTGAGAACATTTTAAAGTTTGAATGGTTGTTCTACGTGAAAATATGAGGAAGTAGTTAAGTTTCAGAAACAAGCAAATTTTAGCAGAATTGCAGAAGTTTCCCATTCATTTCAATGGGACAAATTAAGCTTAATATTTTAAAAAGTATAATAGTGAAAAATACCAAAAGACATAGCAGGAATTAGCAGAAATAGCAGAATATTTTAAAATTTGAACGGTGAAAATCGGCTGAAAATTGTGGAAGTAGTTAAGTGCCAAAAGTGTACGGAAGTCCCAAGAGGAACTCAATAGTGTGGATGCTTAAAGCATCCACACAACTAAACAATTTGAGGTAATGTTAGTTTCCATTAACATTAAATTAGGTTACTGAATTGGCAAACACCTTCCTATTAACACTACCCATTTTACCCCAATAACTAAAGAAATTAGCACTTGCAGGTCAAAACCTTTATTCAAGAGACGCAAAAATAACATTGATACAGTGACTGTCAAAAATTACAGCACTGATCATACTGTGACATGTTGGTTCAAAACAGCACACTTAGAAATATTCAACGTTCTTTACTTCAACTGAATGAAACTGAAAATACCATTTCACACGACCCATATGGGATATTTAGACTGTATAACTGTTCACGCTACATCTCTTCACTAGTAAAAGAAAGAAAAATACAAAGAGAAATTTAAAAATGCTGCCAAACAGACAAACAGAACTTGTACAGAGCAAAAGGAAAAACAAACAACAACAAAAAACGGCTCGTCCTCATGGCAGTTGCAGAGTATATAAGAATGAACCCTGCGATCCGTTCCTGGAATTGAGCTTCAAAAATGCAGCAGAACAAGTGTGAGATTTAAATGTCCTCTCACCTAGAGCTGGTCACCTCACATGCATAACAGTGAGCTTCGTTGCAGGAGCAGTTTTGTCTTAGTTGTGAGCTTTTCTTGAGAGCTGAGTTGCATCCAACTCCATTACCACCCTTTGAATCACCTCAAAAGTGTAGCAGAGTTGTGATGGGTAACTCATGTTGAAGGAATAAAAAAGGTCCAAACAGCATGGCTACTGCAAAGGTCACGTTATCCAGATCTTGAAGAACAACATCAGAAAAGTCATTGCCTGGCGCATCTCTGGAGACAGATGTTCATTGTGGTTTTCTCAATCTGTGCAGTGGCCTCAGTCAAGTCCTGGTTAAACACAAAACATTTCTTTAAGATTCCTTTTTAAACTCATCTCTTTTGAATCTACCAGTTCTAATGTTAGAGTAATTTAAACCAATGCAAGCAACATAGTAAATAGCTATAGCCAAAGAGTGGCCTGCCATGCTGCCATTCATGGTCTAACAGAGTTTCTAAGAGAGGGTGAAAAACATAATAATTTCAAATGCTTTACATTAGTTTTTGTTAGAAAGACACCGGCCCATCAGAAATCCAGGTTATGTCACTCAGAAGATGTTAGAATTTAGACTTTCAGCCCCACAATTTGGTTAGGTGTTGGTCAGTTGGTCTTTTTTTTTTTTTCAAACAAAAGCTAATGTAAATACTGGTGGGATTTTCCGTTCATTAGAATGACAAATTTAAAGTTTTTTCACACTGATGTGACCCCTAATACAGGGGTGGGGGTGGGGCCTCAAGGGCCGGTGGCCGAGTTCACTACCAGGCCTCATGTGAACTTCAAATTATTAAAGAGCACTACTGGTCCTAACCAGTCCAATGAGGATCAAGTGGATAACTAAATGCATTTTTAAATGTTGCAAATCCACAATCTACTCATAAAACACTCACCATGAACTCCTGCACCAAGATGTTGCAATTGTCTTTCACACAGATGCGGAGCACTTTGATGAGGAACTCCGAGCATTAATGTCATCCTTGACTATTATAACAAAGAAAACAGAGATTTGTGAACTTTTCAGTAGCACAGAAGAAAATGATCCCAGACAAAAACTCTTGACTTTTTAAACCAGTCAACATGCAACACCAGCATCTACAAAGCAATATCAAAAGTTCCTGTTTGACATCAACTTTATGGATATATCGTTTCCAGAACATTTTTTTTTTTTTAAATATAAATTTTTCTCAGTGGGCCAGTAAATGCATGACGAAAATTATGGCATCCTTTTAGTGGAATCATTACTCACAGGTAATAGTTGACTGTTTCAATGGATGTAGCATAAAAATCTTTTACTGACCTAATGCAATACATATACACTTTGTAGTTAAAGAATTTTAAAGTTCTTACTGTCATAATGGCAGCTACATCCTTTAGCTTTGTGCCCTGTTCCCCCGATCACTTTGCAAACACTTTCAGCAGACTGTCAGAGAGAAACTCAGCTCCGTCAGAAACCTTGACTGTAAAGGCATGGTTGGGATGCACTGGAATGCTGCATTTTATCTGAAATGACATAAAATTATTTTGAAATAACAGCAGGCACTGTGCTTGGTTAATCAGCAATGTTTTGTTGAATAAAAACTGTGTTTCCAGATCTTATGGGATTAAAAAAAAATCCAAAGATGTTTGTTTCTGATTTGCAACCCAACAACCCACAAGTTACAACCTCATTTCAGTTCAAGTGTGCATTAATGCGAGTCCAGTAATCACCTTTCTGGCAATACATACAGGTATAAGTTAAACCTATGGCAGATTTTGGATTTCTCAGTTGTATTAATAGGGTGAGTATGCATGCACCTAATAATTATAAAAAACCTATTATAATTAAGTTACAGAAACGAAAATAGAATATACTTTCTTACCATAACACCTTGAACCCACAATCCATCAGCTGACTCCTGGTGAAATGCAGAATAGAGGTCGTCTCTCAATGTGCAGCAAAAAAACCAAAAACAAAAGGACAGCAGGTGAGGGCATGAGGGGTAGGGATGTAAGCTAGCATAATGCCGCTGATGATATTAGCTAAAGCTGTTCAATGTCCAAAATCTCACTAACACCACGGTGCAGTAAATACACAATGTAACTGAAGAGTCAGTTGGCAAATCTATTCACACAGAAAACCAAATTATGTTATGAGTGCCTCGTAATTAGGTTTAATGTGATATTACGGCTCTTGTGCCAAAGACAAATTCAAATGAAAAAGCGCCAATTCTTTGACAACAGATAAAACAGCAAATAAGCTAACGGCTCTTTTTTAGCATGTTACATGGCGACACTCTAGACGTTTAACTACATTTGGCTGAAATATGGTAAATATTAATTCAAAAAATCAAGACATACCAAAAACGTAGAGTTGGCTGCTCGACTTGACTGAGATGGATGCCTTTTTTAAACCACGATCCAAAGCCCGCGAGATGAAATCACGCGTGGTTTCACGAGATTTAACGTTGCTATCTTATTGACTTACTTCACCTGAACATGATATGAACAATTTAATAACCCTTTCTGCATATCATGTAGTTTTTACACTATATAGTTACATTTAACTTTAAAACATGAGGCAATTGTGTTAAAGAGAGCATATAACCCCCGTGCTGGCCTCTCTGCACTGGCTGCCTGTGTCTTTTAGAGTTAATTTTAAAATTCTTATGTTTGTTTTTAAATGTCTACACAGTCTTGCCCCGCCTTACCTCTCTGAGCTTCTTCATCCCCACATACCCTGTCGGTCTCTCAGGTCAGCTGACCAGCTGCTCCTGGAGGTACCGAGATCCAGGAGGAAGCTCAGAGGGGACAGGGCCTTCTCTATTGTGGCTCCAAAATTATGGAATAATTTGCCCATGCATGTTAGAGAGGCCCCTTCACTGTCCACTTTTAAATCACGTCTTAAAACCCACTTTTATTCCTTGGCTTTTAACCTCAGTGAGACTTAGTTTCTTTTTTAATGCAGTAGTTATTTAATTAATGATTTCACTCTTCTTTTATTTGTTTTTTATTTATATCTCATGTAATTTTATTTTACAGTTCCAATGTACAGCACTTTGTGTCAGCTGTGGTTGTTTTAAAGTGCTTTATAAATAAAGTTGATGATGATGATGATGAAATACATGCAAGATGCTTACATAAATCCAAGAGATGGCCAGTCCCTTTTTTTCAGTGAGGGGTCTGGCCTTGACAACAGTCTGGTCAGTGAGCCACTCTGGAGAATTAATAAGCTGTTAAGAGTCTTGCTCAAGTCTCTTTCACTGTTATTAAAGAGTGAGAGACAAGTGCTCTTATCTTCCGTTCCCAAATTTATCTTGCTAGGTCAAGGTCCAGCATGGAATTATCATGAGCTTGCTTGTAAACTTCTGGTAGCACAACAAATGTTAAGCAGTTAGGTCCATAAAGTTTTCGAGTAATGACCCAATGTTGAGAATTTTGCCTTCGTACACCAAAACAGTGGATTTTAAATCAAACAAGACCCTCAGTTTTAATTCCAAGGGTTTAGCATGAATTGTTTAGGAACACATAACTAATTTTTAAAAGCTCAAAGTTAATTGAACAAACAAACATCAAGATTTAAAGTTCAAGATTGTTTTTCATATTTGGATTAAAATCCTTTACAGTCAATGACTGCCTGAAGTCCGGACCATATGGACATCACCAAATGCTATGCTTACCGTCTTGAGATGCTCTGCCATGCATTTACTGCAGCCCCATTCAGTTACACCCTATTGTAAATCCTCGGTACTTACTTACATTAATGAACCCGTCTTATGATTGTTGACTTTGACAAATGCATGCGAATTTCCTAGAGGTTTTTCTGGGTTAGATATTGTAAATTTCACTTTAGTCCTCCTCCATGGTCTTCCAGGCCATTTGAGCTTGTTGCAAGTGCATTTCTCTTATTTTTAAAAAAATATATATTTCTGATATATTTATTTAGGTTTTAAGCCTAGTGATGGCCTTCTTCACCTACATTTCTTTGAACCTCATATCAATTCTGCCAGTGCAACAATAACTAAAATAAAAACTTCTTGGCAATCAATTATCCAATTATATTACATATTGATTGCCTGATTTAAAAGTCACTGTGGTAAAGTACGCAGACAAAATGACAAAAAATGTGTCACTGTCCAAAAACCTACGCACTTGACTGTACTTGAATGGATTTGAAAAAGACGGAAATTTGTTATCAGCATTTGTTTAGTATTTACTAAAATGGAGTTCACTGAATCACTAATTCAACCCTTTCAGTCTATGGTCTCATTTGTCACGTGCTTTTATGACTTATACTACAAACTGGACAAACCTCAAAGGATATAATTATGTTACAAAGAGTTTCCACCAGACTTGATCAACTATGGCTCCAACTCACCTGTGAATTTCATCACTGCGGTCTTGGTAGAAAGGTCTTTTGTCTGATAAGATGCAGTATTACTGAGGTGGAAGTGAAGGTCAGGCAAAGGTCTCTTTGACACATAGAATGACAAGAAACTGTGATGAAAGAGAAGACATGCTCTACATGTTTTATTCGTCCCATTCATCCCATTTTCTTTCTGTTAAACTTAAATATTTCAATTTTAATAGTGCAGTTAGTTGTGGGTTAGTTAATAGTTTCACAATGTTTTTGATGCCCTTTAGATTAAATTAAATTAAATTAACTTTCCGTGGTAAATTAATTATATAAAATTACTAGATGGTGGTAGACATAGTAGTGGTAGACAAGCAGAAAAAGACAGCTGTAGTGATAGATGTAGCGATACCAAAATGGTTTAAGGATGGTTTAATGACTCAAATAAAAATCTTTTTTTCTTTTGTTTTGTATAACATTAACTTTAGATGTCAAAGGTCTTGTTTATTAGCAATGGGCAATAAAGGACAAAGGTATCACATATAATCAAGTATAGTGGAAGAGAGAAATTACAACTACTACACCGATGCAGTATCTTGGATGAATGATAAGATTAAACCTGCATTAGCTACATACAGATTTGGAGGAGTGCACATGTGCAATGGATCTGTAATAATAGTAAATGGCAGGAACAGTTTTAAAGTAAAAGAAATTTCAAATATATTCCTCTTGTATCAAATAGTGCAGACTTAAATGCTGCAGTTCTGCACTGAATATGGTTGGTGGTTAAGCTGTGACCAAGACTTTTGGCAAACAGATTCAGGATGAAGTGGCCATTAAACATTCAATAGAGCACTTTGAGTGCTCTAGTAGAGTAGAGAAGCACTCTATAAGCTTGAGTCCATTTACCATTTAACTATTCATTGTCACACAGTTAGGATATTACCTTGGGAAAAAAAACATGAGCTTTAAACGGCCACATCAGCAATCAGATAGATGATGAGATAAGAGGGTGTGTGATTTAAAAGGAGCGGCAGAGTTTGAAAAGGGCACTCCTTGTTGCAGAGTCCTCCAGCTCACCCTCACCGCCACCATGACTTTCAACGGCACCTGGAAAGTTACTCAAAATGAGAACTATGACAAATTCATGGAAAAAATGGGTGAGTGCTAGAGCTGTCTTGATAAGCTGCTTCTGAATCTTCATTTTTTCTTAAATAAAGAATACTGATGTATTAATGTCTAAATATAATCTTTGCACCAAACTGATAGTCATGCACATTTTTTTATGACTGCATTATAAGTGATTAGCCTTTAGACGGGTAAAACTTCCTGACATTGCTCAATCTATTGTGACCTTATTGTGTCTATCCACAGGAGTTAACATGGTGAAGAGGAAGCTGGCTGCTCACGACAACCTCAAGATTACCATCACACAGGAGGGAGACAAGTTTAACGTCAAGGAGAGCAGCACTTTCCGCAACATCGAAATTGAATTTACCCTCGGAGTCACCTTTGAGTACGCCCTTGCAGATGGAACAGAACTATCAGTAAGTTAAAGTGGCTCCTAGTTTCACTCACTTTAGACTTTCAACTTTTGAGTCCCTGTTACTAAGTCAACAATCCATACATCAAGCCTTGACTTTGCCCTCTGTTCAATACCGCAACTATAAAAGTGTCAAACAGCCTAGTCAGCCTTTGGACTTCTGCACAATATCCCCTCCTTGCCTGTTCTCTATTTCATTAATTTCCTCATCGTTGGTTTCAACTCTCAGGGTGCGTGGACCTTGGAGGGAGACGTGTTGAAGGGAATTTTCAAGAGAAAGGACAACGGAAAAGACCTGACGACAACCAGAATTGTTCAAGGAGATGAACTCATACAGGCAAGGCAGAGTTCCTACAAACGTATAAAAATAGAGATTATACATTCAGAAATATAAATTTTCATCCTGGCATAAAAAAATGTGAAGTTAAATAACAACTGTATTTGATTAATCTTTCTTCAACAGAGCTACACCTACGAAGGTGTGGATGCAAAGAGGATTTTCAAGAGGAGTTAGACCAAATCCATCTAAAGAACCGAATTGAAATATTTTCAGGGTTACATACAGTTTTGTGCCAAGTCATCAACAACATGTAACTCATCATATTTTAATAGCTGTATTAATAAAGTCACAACTGCCTATTAATTTGTGTGCTTGTTTCCTCTGCTTTTCATCAAATAATATTCTGTGGAAGCTCATGCAAAGTTAAACACACACACACACAAACACACGGTCAAGTGGCTAATTTAGTAGTGATACAATAATTGAAACTTTATTCAACAATGAATAAAAATAAATATATATTATCTACAAAAATATAAAGTGTAGACAGGTTTCACATGTTTCTTTAAACTGACATGAAGCATTTACTGTAATGTCAATAAATCAACTCAGCAGACCAAATGCACAGGACCAAAACCAAGCAGACGGCAGGATTCAGGGAGGCATCCCGAGGCTACTTATCAGGCATCGTCATCTTATAACTTTTTATAACTGATAAGATCAGTGACATGATAAGATCATGCAGAAAGCTTTCTTTTGTTTTGTGGTTTTACAGAATAATTAGGTTGCTCCACTGTACGGGTAGCCCGAAATAAAAGAAACAGATCGATGCAATGCCAACTGTGACTTTAAGTGACACAGGAGAAAACCAGTCTCATCAAGCAGGCCTCGAGAGCAAATTCAAACTTTAACTGAAGACTACAAACTGTGAATGCAAGACATAATCGTATTTGCACAATTGGATTAAGTACTGTTAGTTTAACAGAGGGAATAGTTTTTGAACTGCTGAGTTTGCTGCCTGCAGCTGTGATTGTTACATCGAAGCCTGAAGGAGCCACTAAGAACCCCAATCCAACCTATAAATAACATTTTCACATACAGGAGTGTCAAATACGTCACTGGTAGCATTGCCTGCTCCAAATTTAATCGCAACATCGTCTATTTCCCTTCATTCATCATTTTTATTCTCTAAATGTGGTTCACCAACAAAGAACAAAACAACAACAAAAAATGAATTCACTGAAAGTGTCAAGGCACTGTTGATACAACTGAAGACACAATGTTCAGAATGTAAAATTAAACTTGTGAGGAAAAGAGAAGAGTTTTTTAAGATGAAGGAAAAAAAAACAAACCCACAATCATTATGAAGAAAAAACACTTCACATGTGAATCAACGTTAAGGTAACCTGGTTATTATTCGTGGACTGAGCTTCAGTTTATCGGTAATTTAGTTATTTAGTTACTTTTTCCATTAAATATATAGGAAGTCTTCAAAAAATAGCAGGGATTTATAATTACTACAGCACAATCAAGTTGTTTAAAGGCAGTCTAGTGTATATCATCGTGTACTGTATCAGTGAGCGATAGACTGGACTGCCTGTGAAGTCCAAGTCTTGTTTTTCTTATATTTAAACAGTGTAAGTAAACCATGACAAATACAAGTAGAAACACCCAAAAAAACGAAATGACCAACACAAATTTCAAATGTCTGTCGGGTCAAACACGGCATACATACACAGCTAAATGTGTTCAGTAGGAGTAAATACCTGGACAAAGGTTGATGTGATAAAAATGTAAGGTGAAAAAAATATGTGTATATGGCATGATGGTTATAAAGAGACTTGGCAATCTAGTGAGTTGAAAAAAAAATATATATATTGAGATTTGAAAAATGTGCATATAAAAAAAAAAGGATCTAAAAACACCAAAACCTGCTCTTAAAGTAATTATTTTTTAAAGTGAATGCATAGTATGCCTCTGACAGTTTGTTTTCCAACACATTGTTTGCATTATACATTTAGATTCAAAAATGTAAGCATAACATAATATTATGTATTCTAGTGTGAGCAAGAGAACATTCAAGTGTTTAAAAGGTTACAAATTGCTATTTGATGACTTTGTTTTATTACAATTGAATAAAATCAAACAGAATGTTATGTTTGCTGGAGTCAGTCCAGGATTATCATGCTCATGCTCAGGCTGTACAAACAGCTAGTATGACTCTGTAAAGGCCACATGCAGGTTTCAGAATATTAGTCTTACTATGAACAAGGATACTTGTGTGTTATGTTAAGTAGTATGGTTAATAGTTATGTCAGTTATATCAATTACATTGGCATTATTATGAAAATACCTGGAAATACAGACCTGCATTTAAATCTGCCTACTTTAAGAGGAAGACTGGGGAAAAATGGTTTCGACATCACTGGGAATTACAAAAAAAAGGTTACAAGAATCAGCACTGAAGACAAGAAAACACAAAAAGGTTGCACGACTGTGTATGGCGGTTACTAAATAGCCTGAAGGCTGCCCTGTGACATTGCCAATAAAACCAACCAATAAAACAAGTTACACATTTTTTTTCAAGGATGACATAAAATTGACCTTTACTGGGGGTGGTTTTCTCAAGTAAATGAACAATCGATCATCTTTTCCAGTACACTTTTTTTCTTTTTTTTACATCAAAAGACTGACTGGTATGGGGCAGCCCACAGTCATTCATTAACAGAATAATGTTGTAAAATAACTGATAACTGATAACACTTAGAACACCTCAGTAAATAAATAAGACTCACTGTTACAGCGTCTGTCCTCTGGTGACCTAAAGCCTCCAAAATGTGCATAAAACTCGTAAGGTGCTCAGAAATCATGAATACTTTTCCGATCTTACTCCTTTGACAGGGGTAATTAGATTAACTGCCTTTAACCTGCTATCGATGAGGCCAACCTTTGATGTTATTATGTTGTGTAGAATGACATCATAATCAGATAATGTATCTTTAGCATATCTTTTCATGATAGCATGCTCTTATTTGTGATCACACTCAATTCTTTTACCATACAGACCACACCTTAATCTCTTTTGCCTTACCCTAAATATATTTGTATAGTTTAATTTCTGCAGCACTAGTGCACAAATAAAATATGTGCACTAAAATACAAATATTTTAAAACAGACATACGGTGATAAAAAAGAACGATCTAACCCTAAAAAAACTTCTTAGTGCAAACTGAAAACAGGGTTTTGTTGAAACGAAATCTTCGTGCAGCAACGCTACAAAACAAATGAAGATACACGTGAACGTTGATAATCCGTCAAGTCATACACAACAGCATTTAGAAATAGGTTTTATTTATGTGACAGGCTTGCATAAATAAGTTCGTCTCGGTTTGGAGGTGCCGTGGCTTCCTGACATATTTCCATTCTGTAAACTCTTTGGCATCCAGTTAATACTGCCCATCCATGTAAACAAAACTTACCAAGTTACACTCATAAAAAACCACGTTCATCCAGTCCTTTGGCTGTCACTGGGTTCCATTTTGCAGTGGGTTTATTGCTATTATGGCCTGTGAAGGAAAAAAAAAGAGTTTCCTTTAAAAAAAAACCCTTGTTTTTACAACAGTCACGTGTCACTGACACAGCAACAAAGAAAACAATACGATATTGTCATTTTGTCCTTTCCAGTAACTTACTGGTTTTGTTTGGAGGCTTACTTGTTTCCGGTCTGGCTTTTGGCACATCTTGTGAATGTGTATCACTGTTATCTCTCCGCTCACTTGCAACCGTTGTCCGTGGCACCGTGGCAGAGAGGACAAGAGGCCTCTGGTTGTGGTACTTGAGACGGTATGTTTCCGTCATGCAGTTATCCACATTGAAGTATGTTGTCAGAGAAACCTCTTGAGCAGGCACTGCCTGTTCCATCCTGCATCCAGCTGCTCTTTCCTCGCTTTCACACGATGATGGGGTACTCCTTTCTGGGTCAGACCCTGACTTGGAGCTTGCATCTGAGAAGGTTCGGAGGCCCGACATGTCGGGCTTTCTGTGAGGACTGACGTAAGATGTAGACGAAAGACGAGGACTTGATGGAAAAGGTTCTTGGAGCATCCTGGGACGAAACACTGGGTGGCCTGTTTCCCCTTGGTGAGGAGTCCGTTGGCTGGGTCGAAGGTGAGGCAACCCTGTTGTACCAAGCTGACGCTGGCTGTTCAGTTGAAGAGGTTCTGCCGTCACATTGCTGGGAGGGTGGTATGGCAGGCTTATATGGGGACACTGAGAATCAGAGGCTGTGGCCTCGCTGTTACTGGAGAGGTAAGTGCTTTCTCTATCCTCTGGCTCAGAGAGAGCAAGATCATCAGAGCTGTTCCATTCTGAGCTGCTGGTTTTTGTAATGTGCCTCAGGTTTGTACTTTCTCCAGTGTGCCCTCTACAGTTTGTCATCTCCTGCTGCTCACTCTGCCTGCTGTCCGAGCCAGACGAGATCCTCTCAGAAGACCCTGCTTTTCTGGAGGTACTAGACGTGTACTTTGATTTCCGTCTACAGAAAAAGAGGAAATTAATTAAGATGTAAAAACTTAAAATTCATGTATATTGTCTTAAAGCATTTTGCTATATATTATTGCTATATTACATTTCAGTGTAATAACTTGGATTTATGCAAAACAACACATTTTGGGGTGCAAACTGAAGCAGCGCAAGTTTCCGACAACTTTTCAAACATCCAAGATCTACAACTTGCTGGCTGGCCTAATCACCGTAATCCAAACTACTCTGACATGTCACATGTATTTTTTTAAAGATATATTATACAACTGTACTTTTTCTCAGGTATCACTGATTTTCAATGAATGAAATGTCCAGAAATGTTCAGGAAGGAAGCTCAGCATCTGGTCTGGTTTGCTTTTTTTGTCAGCTGAAGTTTGGGGAGGAGAAACTAAAGTTTCCATGACAGCAGTGCTACAAAAATGTCTTCTAGTAGTTATGCACACATCTATTTTTGATGTGGAGGGCATTGATTGTAGGAACATAACAAGTTTCCAGAGGTAAACTGAGTTTTAGAATCACAGTGTTGACTTTCTGGCTCCATCCTTTAGGTCTCCTCTTCCATTTCATTTAGCTCTCTGTCTGTGTTCTCAGTTTATACTAATTATGCGATTTGTTAATTTATCCAATATGACCCATTACACACTATAACCACAGTGCAAGTCATCCCTATATATACAGGTGGATTAAGTCCATCAACTTGAACTATTTTTTAAAAACTAAAGCCATTTTTATGTAATTCAAGAGAAACAACAAGAAACAACCTCGAACATGGACTGCCCTTTTGATGTGAATGTGAAACTTGATCATGGTTCTTTCCCTG